TACATTAATATTGAAAGTACAGATCATTTCATACACTATAGGAATATTTATAATAATTAATAACATTTGAAAGTATTTATAAAGTATTAATAATAACTAATAATGAGTGATACTCCTTATCACTCCAAGTCCCCCCGCTCAACCGTCGGCATCCCTGACGACAATCCCTCTGGAAGTCCTTGCAGACGACATTTGATCCTTCAAGTTAGCCGTCAACCATCTTATGCCATCTTCTAAATCCTTCATTGAAATAGGCTTCGGCTTTTGATCCACGAGTAAAGCATGTCTTGAGAGGGTATCGCGGTGTCCATTAAAAAGTGGGGTCCAAACATCTACTTCTTCACTAGTATTTGAAAGATTATTATTTGCATTTGTCTTCTTATTCTTCTCTTTATCATTGCTTTCCAGTAGTGAAAGACTTATATTATTATTATTTATATTGTCTTTCTTTGAGTCCTTATTTCTCTCTTCATTTGACTCTTCATTTCTGTTCACTTCTTTTGAAAGTTCTTTCATTTCTATTATCGCTTCCGATTCACTAATATTTAACAACTTTTCAGAGACGGCGATAACATTAGTCCTTCCGATAGACTCTTTACTCGCCATCACGTCTTCTGAAAGTTCATCCAATTCTTCTGATTCTCTAATATTTGTCTTTATATTCTTCTTAATTCTCTTTTTGCGATTCTTTCTCGATAATGAAAGACTTTTATTATCATTAATTTTGTCTTCATTTGAGTCTTTGTTTGCGATAACCTCTTCTGAAGATTCTGTCTCTTCTGTTATCGATTCCCATTCACTAATATTTGACGACTTCTCAGAGACGGCGCTATCATTAGTCAATCCATTAGACTCTTCACTTGCATTCACATCATCTGAAAGTCCATTCACTTCTGGAGTCGTTTGCGTTCCGCTATCAATAGACGACTTCCCACCGAAGGGTTGACGACAAGTGCGGTCTTCTCGCCAATTCATGTCACGATTACAGTCATCTCTCGAATAAGAATTGTTGTAACGATTGTTTCGAAAGTTTTCCGTATAATAGCGTTTATTTGAACAGCGATTCCAGCCTTTCATCCCATAGACGGCTCTTCTTGTAGAGTAGGCGACGGTACGGTTCGGCTCAAGTGTTGTCGTCTTACGACTACTACTAGACTTCTTCATAATTCTTTCCTTCGATTCTTTCACTTTTGAAGGGTTCCGACAATTCTTGCAGTGTTTGTATAAGTGGTCACCAATTATTCCACACTTATAACAAATGTAGTCCTCATTAACTTTTGACAGACTTTCCCTACTATTACTGGAAGTCTTCCCATCACTACTACTATTAGCCGATTCAGAGGAAGGGTGCGGACAGTCGGCGATGCGATGGTCCAAATTGTGACAGCGAAAGCATCCCAAAGGTCTACGTCTTCTCTGTTTATATCTTGAGTGTCGACCACTTGACGAGCCTTCCGAAGAGTCCGATGACTTGCATTCACGGCAGTCGTTCTTATAGTGTCGGCCACTTCTCTGTCCATCAAATCTCTTATTCAGTCGACGCGAAGAGTGTTTCATAGCGTTTAGCCATCTCTTGTACGCAAAACAGTCGACTTTAATGTGTCCTAATCTATGACAAAAATAACACTTTTTCCAATCATTAGTTGAAGACTTATTACTACTCGACGAGTCTTCCTGTCTATGAGACGACTTTCTTTCCAGTCTTCTGTCTCTTCTTTCAATTGTTTGGCACTCCTTTAAGGCCTTATTCTCTACTATTAGTCGCTTCCAGTCTTCAAATACAGTCCTCTGGAAGTCCAACATTTGCTCCACAGCTGTCTTAAGCGAAGTTATACTATTGGCCAACAATCTCGCGGCTCCGGTCGTGTCATTTCCAGACGTCATTCCAACCGAGTCTTCCATCCGAGAGTTAGCGCTACTGTTATCTTCATTTATATCTCTATTGATAACCATATCTTGAAAGTTGTCTTTCATTTCTTTCTCTGTCATCTCTTCTATCGATGCTTTGAAAGACGTCTTCTTAACTATAGATACCATTTGTCTCATCCAAGGCTTTGTATATCTTCTGGTCTTCGGTGGCATAAAAGGTCAACAATATATGCGAATAGACAATGACTTCTTCCGAAAGAGTTGAACCGATAATAAGCGCCAATCGTCTGAAAGTGAATCCAAATCTGATTCGGGAGAAGACAACCCAATTGTGTCTCAAAATAAGCGACGAAAGCCTTATATATTGACAACGACTTCCATACGGAAAGCCAATAGAAAATCACAACAAAAGTTATGCAATACTATGATAAGGGGTTGTATGCGTAAGAAAGTGGGCGTAAACCAATATTTCACGCTCTTTCACGCCAAATACAAACCACCAAAACGGAGACTTTGATCCACTGATCCAAAACCCGTAGTCCACTACCAGTTGGCTCGGAGAAAATATAAGGATAAACGGAGACTTCTAACCGTAGGTCAGAAAACCGCAGCCCTCCACCAGTTGGCTCGGAAATAATATATATAAAAGGAGACTTCCCATCGTTGGTAGGAAAACCCGCAGCCCTCCACCAGTTGGAGTATTTAGGTATACCTGAGTCGGGGGCGAGGCTTAGGCTAATCCTAAACACCCTTTAATTTATACCTCCGGAGACACTGAAGACTATTATAACTCTTATTTCGCTCTCTCAGCGAACGCTTCCTTTGAACGACAATAAATTCACTTCAATTTAAAATATATAAAAGCGTTTAATTTAATATAAGTATTAATTACAATACATTTGAAAGTCTTACAGCACTTCAATAACGAGAGGGCTATCTGAGCACAACCTCTCACTTGAGTCCCTAATTAACGACTGACTATAGTGTACAATATGAGCGACTCTTATATAGTCATTTAGAAAGTTATAATACATTAAAGTCTTACATTAATATTGAAAGTACAGATCATTTCATACACTATAGGAATATTTATAATAATTAATAACATTTGAAAGTATTTATAAAGTATTAATAATAACTAATAATGAGTGATACTCCTTATCACTCCATATGCTTACCTGTTTTGACCAGTAGTTGTGTACTCTTATGTGTAGACTCGGGTCTGATTGCAATTGATATGAATTTAATTAATTGTGATTTTAGTGCCCAATATGTAAATGTAATGTGAAAGTAAAGCACAAATATATTTTTTAATTAAATTTTATAAGTTAATTAATTGTATGAAAAACACACACAAGTGATAATGTAACAACATTTAAAAAATGTTTTTGTAATTATTCATTAATTAATTAATGGTAGTCATTGTTTTTAAAACTTTTTAAATAATTTATTTATTTTATTTTTTGAAAATTTTAAATAATAAATAATATTTATTTAATGTATACATAAAATAAATAATCAATTTTGAAATAATAATAAATTAAAAACTAATATTAGAAATAAATATTTTTTAATTAAGTCCAAAAATCCGTGATCATGATGTGCCATGTTCAATTTTTATCCATAAAATCCACCATAACCCCCGTATCCACTGTAACAACAATTTTATTAGATGTACACAAATTAATAATTTATTACAAAATTTGTCATTATCTTATATTACCGGCCATAACCGCCGTAACCTCCGTATCCGCCGTAACCACCATATCTACCATAACCTCCATATCTATTAAGTATTTGTAAGTGTTAGATTTGTAATTAATAATTATAATTATTTATCAAACATAATAAATCATTACTAATATAATAATTTATTAGCAGATATACTAAACATACCCTCCGTATAGATAGCCGGCGCTCACATGGGATACCTGAGCCAACATGAGTGCCACCAATAGAACCGTCAAAAGCATCAATGATTTGAATTGCATTGTCTTTGAGGTAGTCTTCGAGAGATATAGTCTTCAAAACTATTAAAAACTTGTGATAAGTTTGTGAATAAAGTGTCAAAACAATTGCTGTTTATATACACTTTCATTGCACTACAATTGACGGGAAATAACAATCATTATTATTACTATTAATGTTAAATGTTTTATTATTGTATTTTTAATTCTGGTGAATTATTGTTTCCCTAGATCCTTTTAATAATCCATATTATATATACTTATTGTGATTAATTATTTTTCCAATAATTTTAAATTTTATTGTTAATTATAATGATTTAATTAATAAATTAGTTTTAAAATCTTATTCGTTTTTGTCAGCAAAACAACCTGTTTATGAACATTGAAAGTGACTTTTCTTGGTATTTATTTTAGCACTTTGTTTGTACCTAATATAACGGATATAATAATTTTTTAATGCATTTGTTCACTATTTGTTAGTTTATTATAACGAGGCATTCAATTATTTCCAGAAAAACCGTATTAAAATAATTTGAGTGTTAAACGATGTATTAGTAGAAAAAATCGGCCAAACATTACATTTATTAAAATTTTTAAAAATATTTGTTAATTAATAATAGTTTTATAATAAAAATAATAAACATAATTACAACAAACTTTGAATGCATTGAATGGAGTCATAAAAAATTGGTTTCCACACCAAAAGCCTATTAATCGTTGATTAATTATTAGCCACTCTTTTCATAATTGTTAATAACTATTAAAATTAAATTTACTAAAAATTATTACAAATACAGAATATGTTTTGTAACTTTCCATTTTATGCTTCATTTTTATATAAAACTTAATCATAAAAAAGCATTGCATTCAATTAACCCTTAATTTTCAGTTTTACGTTTATTAACTAAAAATGCTATTCAATGCTATTGATTAATATATATACCCAGTCAACAAAATCTGTCGTTGCGGTTTTTGTAATTATAACTAAACTAGAAGAGCTAGATCAAATCTGTAAAAAGTAAAATAAAGGTCCACATGTCTAGTTTTTTGTATCAAAAAATTATTGAAATCACGTGACCATAACACAGAAATTTTTGGGTCAAATCGATTTGCTATGTTTTTTGCCCACCTCGAGGGGGGCTAGGAAGGGGGCGGGTATGCTATTCTTTAGAAAAGATGTCAAAGACTATGATAGCAAAGTTTGATTGAAATTCATTCAATATATGTATGAGTTATATGTGTATATATTAGGCCGCTATTCATTCAATAGTAAGAGAGAGAGAGAGAGAGAGAGAGTCATTGAAAGTGTGTGAGAGAGGGAGAGAAGAGAGAATGATAAAAATACATTATTAAAATTTCTGAATTGTTGTTTCGGTCCGGCAGTACAAGCCTGGGCCCAGCAATTTTTTAAGCAATTTAAAATAGAGAACACTCAATGCTCCTCTTTTACCCCTTCAGTGGACAGTTAACAAAACGTCCAAATAGAGAAAATTCCCCTGAAAAGAGGACATTTGGTCAGCCTAGTGGTCACACATTAATTGTAAGGATTTATAACTTGACACAGACTGGAACACAGAGCAACGCACTATGCGTTTGATGATAGTATTGGCTGTGGTGTTGGTTACTGTTGTGGCCATCTCTGAAATAGCGGAGTGTAAAATGAGTGGCGATGGGAACAAAAAGCATAGATACATTTCAGACAAAAAAGTGAAACGTGGTGAAAAGTGTCAGAATAATGATTACTGTAATAAGGATCAAGGAGATGTTTGTAACCCCGATGGTATATGCCGTCATGATCCCAATTCCGGTCGTTGTGGTGGAGACGCCGATTGTAAAAGGATTTCTAAACGCCCTCGCTGCAATGTGTCTAATCATTGTATTTAAAAAATATGATCACACAGACAAACTCTAGGCTATAACCAAAAATAATTGGTTGTAGCAGCAAATAAATTAAATGGAATCAATAATATAATTTGACATTGTTTATATAAGAAATTGTATACAATCAAATTATATTTATAATAAAATATTATTATTTACATTATGATTCGCAGTAAATATTTATTTTGCGCTCAATTTTAGTTTTTATTTTAACTGATGTTTATTTATTACAAGTATAATAATTAATTTTCTCGTTAATTAGAATTATGTGTTTTATCGTCGGCACTCGTTTCCATCGCACGCCGTGTTTTGCATAACGTTGCGCTTTAATGGGTGTCCACTCGACGGTCGCCTATCGCTCGACTTAGCCGTTAGCGAAAGCGGCGCTAACACCGGCGGCGGCCGTGAGAGTCTACACATCATCCGTAAGTCGGCCGACACCAGCGCTACACTACTGGCCCTTAATGAGTGTGTATTATGTGTAAGGTGATAATTATAAGTTATGTCATTGCGATGACAATCATGTATTATAATGATAGTGAATTTAATGTTTTAATGTATACTAAATGAGTATTGAATGATTACTATTATAATATAGTTGCGATTATATTATAACTTTGAAATGAATAATATATGTTAAATAATTGTTATTGCGATAACAATATATTATATTATATTACCGGTAATTAAGTGCATGAGCACTAAATAAATATTTGTTATAAAGTTAAATACTTTATATATTTATTATTGAAATAATGAGATTTTGTGCACAATAATTGATTTTAAAGAAAATTCTGATATTTTGTGTTAAATGAGATTTTTATAAATGTATTAAAAGAAAGATTATATTAATGAGATGTGTTTATAAAATTAAAATTAAGAATTAAACAATTAATTTTCATTACAATTTCATAACAGACAATAAGCTCAATCATGTTAAATTGTTGAGTATATTGTAAATCATTGAATATGTTTTATAGTGAAATTTGTAAATTGATATAGTTTAGATTTTGATAATTTGAGTTAAATAATGTGTCATTTATAACTGTATGAGGTGATATGTAAATATATAACTGTAAAATATAAATTATACCTTGGCATTGAAATACTGTATATCGCAATATATTAAATGATGATATGAAATATTATTATGATATGAATATATCATGAATGAAAATTATTATGTGTTTAAAATAACACTAATTACTGAAATTAAATTCATTGCGATTAAAATATAATTAATTTGATATACAATATAAAGTTATTTGAAATGACTTTGAAATAAATATTATAATAATAACATTTTATTTAATATTAATGATTGCCTTTTATTAATTGATTAAATTTCAATGCAAAACATATTAATTGATAATGAATAGGCTCCGAACTTTTCTGCTGCTTATGAGTAGTGCTAAAAATCAAACACAGGGACAAATTATAATTTACGACAAATACTATGATTCAATCGTTTAATAATATAACCAGTAATTAAATCGTTTGAATTAAATAAAGCAAAAGCTATAAAATACTAACAATTGAAGTACGGTTATTGCCCGGCCCCGATTTTAATTTAATTGTGGTATTCAGAGAGTCTAGGGCATATAAAACACGTCTATGTACTTTTTTAGAGATGACATTCACTTTGGGAGGCATGAGAGGGGGTCATATATTTCATGTTTCTCATGAGTATTGAAATAAGGTAGTCAGTTTATATATATAGCTCTGTGGCCGAGTGGTTAGAGTGTCCGGCTATTTACTTGAATTGCCCAGGTTCGAGACGCCCTTAAACCATGTTTTATTTGTGACATTTTTAAAAACACATTTATGTTATTACTTGACTATTATTTTAAAATAAAATTATATTGAATAGTTAAAAAATAATTAATGAATCAATAGTAAAAAGTGAATTTGTAAATATTTTTTATCAATAAAAATTATACACATTAAAATGCAAAAATAAAACATGGTTCAAGGGCGTCTCGAACCTGGGCATTTCAAGTAAGTAGCCGGACACTCTAACCACTCGGCCACAGAGCTATATATAAACTGACTACCTTATTTCAATACTCATGAGAAACATGAAATATATGACCCCCTCTCATGCCTCCCAAAGTGAATGTCATCTTTAAAAAAGTACATAGATGTGTTTTATATGCCCTAAACTCTCTGAATACCACAATTAAATTAAAATCGGGGCCGGGCAATAACCGTACTTCAATTGTAAGACAAGCGTAATATAAATTAATAATTAAATATAATACTAGTATACTACCCGTCGTGTACTATTATTTTTTGTGCAATTAGATGACCCTGTTCCCTCAAACCTACGCTGCCTTCCGCTGCGCTCCCTTACCTGCATGCCTAACCTAATCTAACCTAACTTAAA